CAGAGCCTTCAGAGATTAAATCTCCTTGTTTGTCCTTTGAGACTCTTCCTCAGAGACTTCTCTATTGAAAGTTCCCGTTATAACTCACAGGAAGTTACTTATGCTGTTCTCATTCTTTGGCCCCTGATTGTTGTTAACATTCAAATCCTATTTATCACTGGAATGGGAGTTTATTTAATAGTAAATATTAGTTGCTAGTGTTAAACCTTTTATGGTGGGATAGGTGTAATACACTCGATTGTTGATCTTTACACAGGAACAAAAGTTGTAGTCTCAGGTGTCTATGATAGTGAGGTGAGTAGTTAGACGAAAAATTATTGTAATGGACATTAGTGACAGAAACTAAACAAATAAACTGCCCACAGCCAAGACTCCAGATCAGCCAGATTTTATGCTAGAATATATCTATGTCACCACATTGCTGAGATTTGCATTTTGATTGTTTTTTAAAGAGCAATCAGTGATGTAAGGTTCTAAATAATACATTCAGATTTTATGATGGCATTTAATTTGTTTTCATATCATGCAATCCTAACAGATTTTAGCTATGAGTTGGTGGCCTTACAGAAAACATGGATTGGGCACATATTCTATGCGTCCCATGTGCTATGGAAGATACCAGAGATGCTGGGCATACATGACCTAATCTCTTCCCTTAAGGAGTCCGTACTCCAGGAATCAAGATGTGCAGAATGATAATAATTGTAATCCAGTGGAAAATAATATACAACAAATATTTAATTATGAATTGTGATAAGTACCATAAAATCAAATGTATGTAAAATAATCAGAGATGAGGGAAGAATTAACTGATATTTGCGTTGGCTTCAGAAATGTGAGCATCATTTGTCTAAAGGATGAAATGGAACACGAACACACTAGACAGAAGGAACTGTATCTGCAGAGACCCTGAGTAAGATAGCATTGAGCATGTCCAGCATACGGGGAGGGGGGATGGGTTATTGATACATAGTAAATGGCAAGAATAACATATGATGAGGTCAGAGAGAAGCTGGGGTCCACCCATCATATGTGGCATTATGGTCAATGTTAGAGAGTTTGAGACATAAGCACATCCAGATATAACTTCTCAACTCTCCCATTGTGTGGCTTCCATGCTTAGAACCCCACACAGCACATCAATACGCAGCACAGCAGCAACCAGGCTCCCCATCAGTGTTGACCAAACAAGGTGCCTTGTTTCCCACTCATACATGGAGAACACAGATTCGTGCTGATGCCGTCAAAACTCACGCCGAGTTTTGAGTGCACAGAGTTTACGAAGATGGTTTTAGGTTAAAGAGGTTGACAGTGCCGCAATATTAGCATTTAGGGAACTGTTTTAGAGTCTTTCCATTATGTGTCAGGAAGTAGAGACAGGTAAAAGTGTGATCAGGAGAGAGATGGAAGATTAGAAAATACCTGAATGTAGCCAGAAATGAAAATACCAGGTGATATTAACAATACATTAGCTGGTATGAGGAAATTATTAGAAAATATTAACATATTTTAAAAATCTATTTCAATTTAAAATATACTGAAGATGAGCACTCAAGAACACTCAAGGTGATATAATGTCATGTTAACATGTGTTGTTGGGTCTCAAAAGTGATGGAGACAGAAAAAGAGCTTGAAGAGAAAAAACAGCTTAAAACTTTTCAGATGTGGTAGACAGACTATAGACCTACAGATGAAGAAAGGTCTGACCAAATCTCACTCTACTCCCAATATCACAAGCTATTGCCAAGGGTACTGGCTACTCTACATATCTGATGGTAAGGCCCTATTGCTGAAGATACAACTTATTCATGTTATTGAACATGGAGAAGTTGAGCTGGTCCCCATCTAAACTAGCATTCACCCCTACTGACTAGCATTCATGAATCTGGAAGGTACGCTGAACACTACCAGAGGAGAAATAATTATCAATTTTACCCAGCCACAAATTATGCAACCTACAGCAGAGAGTGATCTGCATGCAACATATACTGTTACAATAGTGGTGCAAATTTTATGGCAGTAACCAACCACTTCCTGATTAGAGGTGGCCAGAAACCTGAGGCTAGATGGATCATGGACCCTGGCGATAGCTACTATTATTCTACTAAAGGAACAATAAAATGACTCCCAGTGACATTCTGCTATAACCATAGATCAATGCTTTGCTCTTTCATTATCAGAGAAGCTTCTTCTTACAGTAGATGGAAACTAATGCAGAGACCCACAACTAGATAATATGCAGAGAGGGAGAGTGCACAGGTTCAAAGAAGACAAATTCCAAGTTCTGAGATAGGGAAATGAACACAAGATCCCACCCTCCATCAGGAAGCTATTTGCAATTGGTACCTGCTAGGGAAGGGAAATTTATTTTTCTCCAGTAGTGTGACACTAGGTATATGAATTCCACTCTAAGGCAGGCCTGATACCAGGACTAGTGGGTTGATGCAACATGGACTTCATGTTTTGGGGTGGGTTTTTTGGTATTGTTTTGGGGAGTGTGTGTGTGTGTGTGTGTGTGTGTGTGTGTGTGTGTCTGAATGTGTTCTTTGGTTTTGATAATTTTTTCTTGTTGACTTTTCTTTTTATTAGATTTATTTTGCTTTTAATTTTTTCCAGGTTGTTTTTCAGAGAAGGAGAGAGAGAGAGAGACAGAGAGAAACAGAGAGAGACAGAGAGAGAGACAGAGAGACAGAGATAAAAAGAGACAGAGAGAGACAGAGAGAGAGACAGAGAGACAGAGATAAAAAGAGACAGAGAGAGACAGAGAGATCATGAAGCTGGCTGGGTAGGGAAGTAGATAATATGAAAAAAAATTTGGGGGGGGGTTCGAGACAGGGTTTCTCTGTGTAGTCCTGGCTGTCCTAGAACTCACTCTGTAGACCAGGCTGGCCTCGAACTCAGAAATCCACCTGTCTCTGCCTCCCAAGTGCTGGGATTAAAGGCGTGCGCCACCACCACCCAGCGATGATATGAAAAATTAATAAAAAGAAAAAGAATTGACAATGCTGAGAAGTGGGAACAGGAAGAAAACTGCACCAGAGCATATCATGACCAATGACCAAAAACTAATGATAAAACAAAACTATTCAAAGTAGTCAGAAGAGGAGACATCACATATTGGGGGGGGTGCAAAATTAAGAAACTATAGCAGACCTCTCGCTCTGGAGTCAGTGCAGGTCACGTGACAGTGAGGTACATCCTTAATGTGCTGTGGTAGGATATACGTGAGTTATAGGAATTGAGGAAATCAAGCTGTTATTGACCGGAGGCTCCTTCTCTACTGGTTAGACTTCGTAGTACTGGAAGATTCTATGCATATGACTGGGACATAATCAACAGTCTTACCCAGCTATGAACCCTGGGAGCTACAATAATAGCTTGTGAGGTATCATCTTAATTGATGATTGATGTGAGAGGCCCAACCCATTGTGGGTGGAGCCATCCCTAGACTGGTGGTCCTGGTTGCTATAAGAAAGCAGGCTGAGCAAGCCATTGAGAGCAAGCCAGTAAGCAGCACCCTTTATATTTTCTGCATAAAACTCTGCCTTCAGGTTCCTGCCTTGTTTGAGTTTCTGCTCTGATTTTCTCAGCAAGTTGCATATGGTGTTTTATCACAGCAACAGAAACCCTAATATGACACCTACCAAACACAAAGGGATGAATAATGTATCATCTTATTTTATGACATTATATAAAAACAAAGTTTCAGTGAAAGAAAGCAGTTAAACAATTTCTTTGGCAGGGGTAGGAGAGGGCGTTGATGACAAGCTATAATGACTATACACACTGGTTAAAACTAACCAAGTATTATATTTAAATATGATGAACTTTATCATATATCAATCAAATGCAGTGAAAAGTGGGAGGCAGAGAAGGACATGGAGAAAGAAAAAGAGAGAAGGAGGGAGGGAGGGAGGGAGGGAGAGAGAGAGAGAGAGAGAGAGAGAGAGAGAGAGAGAGAGAGAGAGGAGAGCAAGGCTAGAAAGACCAAGCATTTCTCTTTTCAAAAGTGCAATCACTCCAGAAAAAAATCGTTCCCAATGGCTCTTTGCCCATGATCTGAAACACTTCAGGATTGTTTCCTTATACTCTGATGGCCTCACCTTCTGCCAAACAACGCTAACTTCATCCCAAAGAGGAACCTTGGCACCAACTGATAATAGAGAAAACTTCACTTAACTGAATGAAGAATGCCTCTGGCAAAGAGGAAGCCAGTCCCTCTTGATTGCCTAGGGCCCTGACCTCTCCCCTTCCTGCTCTCTTGCTCCATCTCTACCATGGCTCAACCCTCCAAACTCCTTTTAATCTAGGTTCTTCTTCACAAACGGAAGACTAATTTCTACATCGCCCCTCTGCTGCTGGAAGGAGTGCCCGGTATGCATAGGTTTTCAATGGGTCTTTGCACAATGAAGCAAGACATCTTCACCCTGGGACAGACTGGCCTCATACGCCAGAGGAGTAGGCTATGTGCTGAGACCGTGGGGGTGGGGAAGCTCCGGCAAGCTCCAGTGGAAACTAAGAGATGAAAAACAAAAACAAAAACAAAAAACAGGGCTGAGGATTACTGTCCTGGGATAGAAGATATTATATTTTTTTTCAGAACCAAACAAAACAACATGCGAACAGCACACACATCCCATGCCAACAGTAAGCTAGTATGACTTGAAGAACTCTGAAGAAAACATACTGAGTCTTGTGTTATGAGGTGGTTTATTGATAAAATATGATTTGAGTCTCTGATTACATATAAACAGTTGTTCTGATAAACTGAAAACTAACTTGGTTAGCCTTAACTAATCTTTGTTAGTAACAATTATTCCTAAGGGCATTGTGAAATGTAAATATGGGGATAGAGGTTGGTGTAGGTGGTGTGTATGACCCCTCTGAGTATAAAAGTTGCTATGAAAGGCAGGTCATCTGCAGAGAGCTAGCTCATCTTGCTTTCTCCACACTGGAGAGTGGTGGAAAACTGGATGTCTTTGTGGCTGTCACTTCTCCAGGGGCTTCTTACCTCGACCACACATTCCCTGCTGAGAGGATGGATGATGTCGTGGCTCCTGGAGAAGAATACACCTATGAATGGGTCATCAGTGAGGACAGCGGGCCCACACCCGATGACCCACCATGCCTTACCCACATCTACTACTCGTACGAAAACCTGACCCAGGATTTCAACTCAGGCCTGATTGGGCCTCTGCTTATCTGCAAGAAAGGTAAAAAACAATACCAGCAGATTCAACTATAGCAAAGATACTGGGCTGGCTGAGAGATTACACTGGGCTGAAGCATGGGGGAATCTTGGTACCTTCCTGTAGATGAGTCAGGAAGAGAGAGTGGAGATCGGATCATAGCTAATGGAAAGTGCCACTTGGTATTGGCTTTTCCTATTTCTTCTAAAACCTCCGTTCATCTTAATCATGGCAACTCCCTTCAAGTTTATTCTGACATCATGCCTGCATGTTTGCATGACCAGTAATGTTTGCCTCAAAGCCAGGTCTATTCATTTTGAAGTGTATAACACCCTAGTCACTGAGAGAGTTCCTGGAAATGACATTGGCTGGTACAACTGACATAGCTAAAATACGTGTTGGTGATTTGGTTCATAAACATGTGTAACTCCAGCTTTCGTTTTTGCTGTTAATTTGGTTGAAGGTGGGTTGGTTGGTTGGCTGGTTGGTTGGTTAGTTGGTTAATTGGCTGGTTGGTTAGTTGGTTGGTATTTTAATTGTTTTAGTAGAAAGGGCCTTGAACTCAAAGTGATAGTTCTCCCCTAGCTTCTCTGGTGGTGGATCACAGGAGTGAGTCATCATCCCCAGCTCAGCTTGACTTCTTAAAAACGTATTGAACAATTTAGGTGTAGTCCACAGATTTTGGGAGTGTCGACTTATGCCTACCTATGCAGATCTGTGTCTGTGCGACTTGGGATTTGAGGTCTTTAAAGACTGGATGGACATCGATCGAATGCTCTAGACAGTTTTGCTTCAGTCTCAGTGTACTTTTTACATGAATGGAGCAAAGCAATAATCCAAGAAATGATGTCTGAGTTCAGAAAAACATGTAAATAAATGCTAGAGCACCCCTTTCCCAGAATGTTCTCAGCACAGACCAATTTGAACACAATTGCCTGGCATGTACTATATATAGATTATATCTGGGAAAGCGTGAAAGCAAGGCAGAAGGCCATATTCAGATTTGGAGTGCACTGACCAGATTGAGTTCATAGCTATGTTCTGATATCCAACAAGAATAACATGTTTTATAAATTGAATGTAAGTGTTTGTCACAGGAAACATAAAATCATGTCCAAGAACAATCCAGGTAACAAAATGTACCTGAGGTAAAAGGCCCTCTGCCCTTTTTTTCCTGGAGATTCTCTCACAGTTCCCCAAGGCATCATTCACCATGGGTCATCCTTTTGACTATGTCCCAATAGTCAGGAATTCCATTAGCTATGCTTCTCAGAAATACACTTGACTTTCTCCTTTCTTCCTTCTCTTACTCCAAGAGACTTCAACTCATTTTTCATGAAAAGAAGCAAAGAATCACAACAAACTGTGCCATGGAGATAATGCCATTAATACCTATATACAGATCATATACCCAGCTCTCTTATTCATCATACAAAAAATATTTTTAAATTTCCTAATGTATAAAAGATACTGTGATATCATTGGAAAAAAACTGTTAATCTTTTAAAAGACAATTTCATTTTATCACTATGTTTACTCATATAAATATGGATTCACCTTGATACAAACATTTCTCTAGTCTCATGTCCCAGCTAGTAAGGAAGCTTCTCTCAACACATGGTATGTGTTCTGATCAAGAAGACTGGAAGTAATGGGGTTTTTCATTGTTGATGATGTTAGCTTTTGACTTTTTGAGGTAAACTTTTAATAGTCCAAAATGGATTTGAACTCCCTATGTAGCCCAGCTGTCCTAGAACTCATGATCCTCCTGTCTTAGTTTCCTGGGTACTGGGATTATAGGAATACATCATAAGACCTGAATGGGGGTGTATGATTCAAATTTATATCAATATTACTTGTTTCTAGCCTCAAATTCAGATGTATGGGAACACAGAAAGTACTCTTCAATCTGGAACACAATAGAGGCCTGTCTTTTCTTTCTCAGGCACCCTGACTGAGGATGGGACTCAGAAGATGTTTGACAAGCAACATGTGCTTCTGTTTGCTGTGTTTGATGAAAGCAAGAGCTGGAGCCAGTCGCCATCCCTAATGTACACAGTCAATGGCTTTGTGAATAGGACGATGCCAGGTAATACAGAGGCCATGCCCCATTCAGCAATGACAATGTCCCACTTGTCCTACATTGGTCCTGTTCTTTCTTTAAGGTAGAAGATACCATGCTCACTGGTTTCCAGTGCCTAGTGGTGAAGTATCACAATCTTGTGCAATGATTCAGTGATTTTCATGATTTTATCATCATTTTTGTCTTACCTAGGAAGTACAATAGATAAATCAGAGATAACAAGGAACTATACTTAATACAGCCTTGTTAGGTGTAGTGTTCTGAGTGATCACTGTCTACTCAAGTACCGAGCCACTCTCTGATAAGAATGGTCAACAGAAAGAATAAAATGAAGATACTTGCAGTAAATATGAGCAGGAGTATGCTCTACCGTACAAATGTAATTTTAGCTGTCCCAAAGTCTATTGATGAACAGTGTCCAGTGTATTGTGGAAGGTTTTCTCATATAATCTTGTAAGACAGTAAAATCATACCAGCTGTTAAGTGTGTGTGTGTGTGTGTGTGTGTGAATGACTTCCACTGTACTAGCCAATTTTATGTCGCTATAACAAAATACTTAGTGCTGTCTACTATATAAAGAAAAGATGCTTTAAAAGAATTCAGTTTTAGAAGCAGAAAGATCTAGACTGACAGCTCATTAGCTCAGCCTTTGATGAGGGACCACTTGTCTGTGCATTAGTAGGGCAAAGAAGCTAAAAGGGAAATGGCTACATATAGAAGAGGCTAAGAACACAGATGGGGCTTGCTTTATAATAACATTACAATACCCAGATTCATAAAAGAAAAGCTCAAAACACACATTGCACCTCACACAATAATAGTGGGAGACTTCAACACCCCACTCTCATCAATGACAGATCATAGAAACACAAACTAAACAGAGACACATTGAAACTAACGAAAATTATGGACTAAATGGATTTAACAGATATCTATAGAACATTTCATCCTAAAACAAAAGGATATAACTTCTTCTCAGCACCTCATGGTACCTTCTCCAAAATTTATCATATAATCAGTCACAAAACAGGCCTCAACAGATACAACAAGATTGAAATAATCCCATACATCTTATCAGATCACCATAGACAAAAACAAGAGAAAGTCCACATACACATGGAAGCTGAACAATGTTCTCCTCAGTGATAACTTGGTCAAGGGAGAAAGAAAACAAAGAAAGAAAGAAAGAGAGAGAGAGAGAGAGAGAGAGAGAGAGAGAGAGAGAGAGAGATAAAGAAAGAAAGAAAGAAAGGAAGGAAGGAAGGAAGGAAGGAAGAAGGAAAGAAAGAAAAGACTTTTTAGAATTTAGTGAAAATGAAGGCACAACATACCCAAATTTATTGGACATAATGAAAGCAGTGCTAAGAGGAAAACTCAGCTCTAAGTGCCTCTAAAAAGAAACTGCATACACTAGCAGCTTGACAATACACCTGAAAGCTCTAGAACAAAAAGAAGCAAATACACCCAAGAGGAGTAGACAGCAGGAAATCATTAAACTCAGGCCTGAAATCAACCAAGAAGAAACAAAAAGAGCGATACAAAGAACCAACAAAACCAGGAGCTGGTTCTTTGAGAAAATTAACAAGATAGATAAACCCTTAGCCAGACTAACCAGAGGGCACAGAGAGAGTATCCAAATTAACAAAATCAGAAATGAAAAGGGTGATAAAACAATAGAAACTGAGGAAATTCAAAAAAATCATCAGATCCTACTACAATAGCCTATATTCAACAAAACTGGAAAATCTGGATGAAATTGATAATTTTCTAGACAGATACCAAATACCAAAGTTAAATCAGAATCAGATAAACCATCTAAACAGTCCCCTAAAGAAATAGAAGCAGTCATTAAAAGTCTCCCAACAACAACAACAACAACAAAAAAGTCCAGGACCAGATGGGTTTAGTGCAGAATTCTATCAGACCTTCCAAGAAGACCTAATACCAATACTCTTCAAACTATTCCACAATATAGAAACAGAAGGAACACTACCCAATTCATTCTATAAAGCCATAGATAGTTATGGTGTGTATTCTCCCTTGGAGATGGAACAGTTTCTGTCTAATTAGGAACTTGTCACAATTTCCTTTCATAGAGGACTTCATGAAAGATTTTTTCCCTACTTCTATTATGTTTAATGTTCCAAGTAGATTTTTTTTTTAACATGAAATGCTTTTTTATAGCATGTTTCACAAGGGGAGGGGGTAAGAGGGGCCAGATGGTGGAAAAGTACAAAATCTTCTTGGCCTGTGCCTTGAAACATGTCATAGTCTATACGGTACACTGCCTTGAATTATGATCTACCTGCTGTTCTTCAGAAGATATGGTACACTGCTTGAGTTATGGTCTCCCTGCTATTCTTAAGATGATATGGTACACTGCTTTGAGTCTATCTGCAGTTGCTAAGCAGGATCTTGCAGTTGCCAAGCTTCAGAGGACATTGTGCAGGTGGGGAAAGGTAGGGGGTGAGGGTAAGGGCGAGGGTCCTGGCTTCTGGCATCTCCCCCTTCTCTGTTTAGTTAGAGAAGGCATCTTATGATCAATCCCAACTATGTGAATTTTGAATTTGGATGTCTAATTATGGGGGGTCTTAGACAAGTTCACAACCCCAAAACACTGATGTGAGACAAGTCACATCGATGGTCGAAGGCTTTAGGCTGTCGACGATGAGCAACGTCAAGGGACTCCGATGTGGGTGAAAGGAGGGTGAGGGCCCTGTCTTAGGCCATGTAGGCTGCACCCACTCCCAGCACCACGCACTCCTTTTCGGCTGCATTGGGTGGGCCCCTGGGAAGTGGACCTACAATAATCCCGTCATTGGGCTAACTCACAGCCATCCTAGTCCCTTGTAAATGTTCAATTTACCAACCATTTGTCAGTTTGGGGTGTAATATTGTCATAAAGGAAGGCTCCCCAATGTTAGTAGATTTTTAAAACTGAAAAAATATAGCTTTTTAATAACTCATTCCTATGAAAATTAGCGAAGGTCCCATGAGAACTAAGTACATTAATCCCCTCCAGGAACAGCACCTCCAGTGACCTAACTACCCTCCAGTGACCTAACACCCTCCAGTGACCTAACCACCCTCCAATAGGCTCCATGCTTCCAAGTTCTACCACCGAAATTCATCACACAGAACTTTTGGGATATGCACCTTTGAGGAGACACATTGTAACGATAGCAACCACCTACACCACTTTCTTCTCTGTCTTTGTAGTAGAACGGACTTAAAGAATGAAAAATCCACTTCTAGTCGAAAGACAGAGATGAACTGGTATAGATGGTTGCTATAGTTATAGTGTGTCTCCTAAAGAAGAAAAGCCTAGATTTACTCTTTCTTTGTTCTCATGGTGATTGGGAAACTGTTTATTTCTCTGTGGGAGATTCTAATCTTGACTTTTATCTCAGATTAACATTTCAAATTTCAAATTTACAATCACCAGATACAAGATGATGGGCTAAGAACTGGTCCCTTAATTGTGTGTGTGTGTGTGGTGTGTGTGTGTGTGTGTAAACACAGACACAGACATATACCATAATATAAATATATCCCATAATTAATATATAGTATTTATTTATGTTCAGTTTAGGAAAAATGAAAATATTTCTCTATTAAAAAGTTCTAGGGGCTGGTGAGATGGTGTGGCAGGTAAGGGTACCTTTCTCCATGTCTGATGATTTGAGTTGGATCTCTAAGATTCTCATGGTGGAAAGAGAGAACCAACTTTCACAGGTCGTCCTCTGACCGACACACATGAATCATGGCAGGTATGCCCATGCCCATGCACAAAATAAATAAATAATGGTAAACAAAAGCAAAAATTCTAAACTTCATCATGTATCAATATCACCAATGGCTTCTCTTACAGAAAAACCAACATTGTCAAGAGTCGGAGTCTGATATTGCTCCTTAGCCTTTGCCTCTTAGCTGTCCCTGCAGCTCTGAAGGAATGGCGCCCATTCTAAACTCCACTTTGTGCTGCTACTTGGTACATGAGTGGTGACTCCTTGTTTCTCATCTCTTTGTGTGTGGATGTTGTCTCTCTCTCTCCAGAGGTAACAGTCTGTGCCCACGATCACGTCAGCTGGCATTTGATTGGGATGAGCTCAGCGCCAGAATTGTTTTCTATTCACTTCAACGGCCAAGTCCTAGAGGAGAACCAACATAAGTTGTCCACTGTCACTCTGGTCAGTGCGACATCTAAGACTGCAAACATGACCATGAGCCCAGAAGGAAAATGGATTGTTTCTTCTCTCATCCCAAAGCATTATCAAGGCAAGAAACCTTTCTTGTTATCGTTAAAATTAATTGGGGGTTTCTACCCCACCTTGGATCATTTAGTTCCCAGGTAAAAGACACAAAATCTTTATATTTATAATAAGCCTTAATAACACTAGAGCTGGGCTGGTATCAACCCCGTAAGCTATTTTGTCTATTTTCATGTCAATAACCCTGGGATATGACTAGCCATGTTCTGCCTGGGCTGCTCCTGCTGCTCTTACGCCAACTGACTAGATTTCATGGCCATGTTCTCATAACTCATCTATCCTGTGTTGTCTTCTCCTCCCTCTTCACCTCCCTGCTCTCCTCCTCAAGCACTCTGCCTCAGATCCCTGGCAACCAAAGCCTTGCCTACCTCTCTTCTGCCCAGCTACAGACTGTAGGCATATTTATTCATCCAATAGTTTTAAATTAAGGTGCAAGGTTACATAGCATCCCTTGATGAGAACCCTCTTGTCCCTTGGGCAACCGGAGCTGGTATTTAGCATTACAATGCATAGCAACAGACTTCAACACTTCCCAACAGTCTCGTGTTGAGTGAGCACCATTGCTTCCCAGGTTACTAACTTATTTCTTCTCTTTTAACCTTTTAGTTGACCCCACCTAGACATGTGCATCCTGGTTCCTAAGACACCATTAGACATTTTGCTCTAAGACTTAAAACCCACTAATTGGGATGCAGGAGGTGTAAGCATTGACAAAGGCCTTTCAAAATAAAGCAAAACCTTAAGAGGCCTCCACTTCCGTAAAAGAGGAAGAAAACTAATGCCTCTGTGAACGCATTCTTAGTTGTCTTTCATGTGTGGCCAAAGGAAAGGACCTAGAAACTAGATTGATAAAGGTAAATATTCACAAATTTATAGAAGTACAAAGCTACCAAGACTGACCAGGCCAAACATGACATATAATATGGTCCTGTGCAATGAGATGGGCACAAGATCCTTGCACAAAAAAGAACTCAATCAATGTGTGTTGAATGGACCACAAATGAGACATTGTTTTATTGAGATAGAATTTTCCGCTGTATGCCAAGGTGTCCTAAAACTCACCATAAGTTCTTAGCTGGCTTTGAAATCATGGCAATTCTCCTGTCTCAGCCTTCCAAATGTGAAAACTGTAGCCACGAGCTACCATACCAGTTAGAAATGGGCTTCAGAGAGCATTAGTGAATTCTGGAGGCTGGCAGGGGGGAGGTACCCAGCTGTAGTCATGTGATACCATGTAAATGAAACATCTAACTGTCATGCCACACATTTTTTGATTTTAGACTATTGAGAGGAACATTCAAGTTGCTAGAGATGAAAATCTAAGTCACAAGAAGGCATATGGCACTGGAGGAACAAACACTGTCTGAGAACATGTTGTTTTCATACTGAGCAACCAAAACTATGATAAGGTGACGATCTGATGAACTGTCACTCTCATGTAGTTGCTAATAGAAATAAAACTAAGATAAAACTAAAATTAAGGACAATTGCTATTCCGAGCTATTATTTAATAGTCACACTAAGTATACACTTTGATAGTCTCCATTTAACAGAGGGTAACAAGAAAAAAAAAAACTAAAGTGATTTCTTGTTTTGTATGTACACTCTGAGCCCACGTTTCACCGCGGAGCCGTACCCCAGCCCTAGGCCCAGGGTTTTAAGTTTGTTGCTGCTGCAGATGTAACACAGAGAGCCTCCTCAACCTTTCCCTCTGACTCTACCTCTCCTCCTGATTTCTACCCTCGCCTCTCCTCCTGCTTTCTACTCCTCCCTCCTTCTGTGACCCGTTAAAACTGTCCAGACTCAAAGAGCTGAAGAGGGTCTGAACACTGTGCTCTTGGCTGTGATCGTTTGTCTCCACGAATTGACTTTTTCTAAACACGCATTTTGATGAATGGTTGTTTCTCTCAAATCCTATTCCTGTATTTATATTCTAATCCAGCTGGGATGCAGGCTTACATTGACATTAAAAACTGCCCAAAGAAAACGAGGAGCCCCAAGACGCTCACTCGAGAGCAGAGACGGCACATGAAGAGGTGGGAGTACTTCATCGCTGCAGAGGAGGTCATTTGGAACTATGCACCTGTGATACCCGCAAATATGGACAAGTGAGTCCGGGTTAATACCACCACGAAATAGTCAAAGACATGGCCCACAGGGTCCTTAGTGTGTGCGTCTGAAATATGATGTCATGAGTGGCCAGCTCTCAAGAGATATGTACATCAGTCTCCACATAGGCATTCTTATCCTCAGAGACGTTTAATTACCCCTAAGTCCCATGGGAATGTGGCCTGATGATAGTGACAGAAACAATGGCAGCTAGAACTTGTTGGATGCTTGCTACTGCTAACCCTTGTAGTAAGTGTTTGCTAAGGGTTTCATATCAGTTCTAGAAGCTTGGTACTATTCTTGTGTTCTCATATCTGAGGGAAGGTGGCAGAAAACTAAAGAGAATCGGAAGCTCTAGTTACTCTTCCCGTGAGATTCCTAGTAAGAAAAATAAGTGTGAACTTTTACTGGGATTCTATTCCGTACCTATCAGACCAGCAGGTTCATACCCCACCATCTGTGTTGGGGCTGCGGAAAGAGAAAGCTATCACACATTCTGGTGGCCCAGTGTGCTGCTGAAGCCATTCTGTGGGATAACTTGAAAAATATGTTAGAATGGTAAACACATATACCCTTTAGTCCAGGCACTGTGCTCTTGGAATTGAATGGTATAAGAGTATTCTTGTTCACAGGTTAGAAGGTTGTATGGAAAGGGTGCTCACTGCTTCAATGTTACTAGTGATAAAAGATTGGAGTTAACTCCAAAGGTCCTACAATTAGAAAAGAGTATCAAGTTATAGCATACTCATGCGATGGAATACTATGAATCCAATGAAATAAAATATAAATAAAGAAGGATACAGTCGTGCTCTGTCCCAGTAACTGGTTCTCATCTGTTATGTATGACTTATCCAGCGGCAGAGGAGATGACTTTTGATTGTTATATGGAAGACATCAGGATGCAAACTACACTAAGAATGTTCCGGAAAGTAGCATTCTAGCCAACTCCAAAGCAGCATTTGGATGTACAAGGTTTCCCCATCGTACATCGCACAAGACGCACTGCTTGAAGTAATCTAACTGTAGTTTCATTATTTCATTTCACTTTAAGAAAATACAGATCTCTGCACTTGGATAATTTCTCCAACCAAATTGGGAAACATTACAAGAAAGTTATTTATAGGCAATATGAAGAAGAGACCTTCACCAAACGCACCGATAACCCCAGTATCAAACAAAGTGGGATTTTGGGCCCTGTTATTAGAGCCCAGGTCAGGGACACACTCAAGGTAAGTAACAGAAATACGGAAGCAGGGAAAACTTAGACAGGGAAAGACAGATCAGGGGACTGGCAGTTTTAATATTTTTAAATGTAGTCATGTAATTTTAAAGTCATACATAGCTTTTGGTTTTATTTCATATTTCCTTCCTTTATATCCTACTTAATAACACAAAAGATCTGGGAAAGATAATCAAAGTAGAAGAGAATAAAACCTGTAGAGTCAGTATCACTGATGGAGTAAAGAATACCAAAGCCCATGTGGCCACAAGTAGAATGAAACACACCCATGCATCCCCAATGCTGTCTGTAAAGTTTGTCCCAACTCTTATATGCCTGAGCAAGATGTACACGCTGGTGAATGCAGCACAGTTCGCCTTGGGTAGAGAGCCAAGAGAACTCTCTTGCCCTGAGTTTTCAAGTAAGTGTCCTTGACAAAAAGCCCCACAACTGTCACAATATAGAAGACTTGAGTGACTTGGGAAAATGACATTGTTCTTTGTCAGTGTGGACATCTGAGTTGGCACAGTGGAGAAAAGCTAATTCTTCACTACAGTCCAAGTGTGTGGCTCTAATGACTGGCCTCCGGTTATAGCTGCGTTTATACTCACACAAGGCCCTCTGGCTAGCAAGATGGCTCAGTGCATAAAACCATTTGATGCCAAACCTGAATACCTGAGTCCATTACGCACAGTCTATGATGGGAAAAAAGAATCAACTCCCACAGGTTGTCTTCTGACCTGTACACACACACACACACACACACACACACACACACACACGAAGTGTAACAGTTTCTTTAAAGCCTGAAGTTTTCTTCAGATAATTATCTTGACTGTTATATCACAGAGCTAGGTAGGGATCCAGACAATTGAAGGTTACAGAGATTTTCAAGATCCTAGGACGTAGGGTCCTGATGATAACTGAGGATGATTCGAAGGCTTTGGCAGCAATCTAAGAAGATAAGGTTAAGGTTGTCTATTGGAGATTAACAGGCTAATTAGGACTTCTAGGAAAATCAAGCCCAAGACTAAACCTATTTCGTTCATTTGAAAATAGACAAAGGTGCCCTTCCCTCTATCTGCTCCCTCACTTTTGGGCTCCACTGAGGTGCATTAGATTTCAGTGTAAGCATATTCTATCTGGGACTCAAGATCTGGCACCTGAGGCCATTCAGGAAGTTAATTTCACTAAGGATGACCTCAGGGAGCCTAGTAAGCAGAACAACATCATGGTCTAGAGGAGAAAGGGCATAGATGCCGTGCAATCTGAAAGAAGAAGGGAAGGGTCTGGGGACTAGTTGGGAGAGGGTGAGGTGCTATGAGGGATCCTTCCTGTCGGGTAACGAGGAAGACTGCTGCCAGAATAAACAGAACTGGTTTTCCCACTGCTTGCCTGTACATCTGTATGTGTACACCTGCCCATCCATGCACACACAAGAAGCTGCCCTCTTCTTGTCTAAAATCGTTCTCACGAGTGACCTTAAACACGGAAATAATAACTATGACTTAACTTTGTAGATCGTGTTCAAAAATATGGCCAGCCGACCCTACAGCATTTACCCTCATGGGGTGACCTTCTCTCCTTACGAAGATGGAGTCAATTCTTCCTCCGCCCCAGGTAGGAACCTTTCACTTCTTGGAGACTACTTATCTCCGAGAGGCTTCCAGTTTTCTCTTGTCCTATTTGCTCAGTGGTTCTGACAAATGTAGTCAGTAATATGGAAGGGGTTTCCCTCCTTTCTGAGTGTCATTGTCGCCATCTAGTGGAGAGACATTGAACAGCTACATGCCATCCGTAGTCAAGAGTTTTAATACAAAAAGAATATTTCTTTCTTCATATTAATTAATCTAAATAAAAGCTAAGGTGGATATTTATTACAACGAAATATTTTTTCTAAAAATAAAGAACGTATATTTTCTTCCAGGCAATCACACCATGATCAAACCAGTTCAACCAGGGGAAACCTTCACTTACAAATGGAACATTCTAGAGTTTGACGAACCCACAGAAAACGATGCCCAGTGCCTAACAAGACCATACTATAGTGATGTGGACGTTACAAGGGACATTGCCTCTGGGCTGATAGGGTTGCTTCTAATTTGTAAGAGCAGGTCCTTGGACCAGAGAGGCATACAGGTATTTTATCCATAAAGAAAAAAAAAGGAAAAAAGAAAGGAAAAAAAAGCTGCCCTCTTTTTCCTTGCTGGCACAGATTTGGTTTCACTACTGGATAGGTGGGTTTCTTTCTTTTTTTTTTTTTTTTTTTTGGTTTTTCGAGACAGGGTTTCTCTGTGTAGCCCTGGCTGTCCTGGAACTCACTCGGTAGACCAGGCTGTCCTCAAACTCAGAAATCCGCTTGCCTCTGCCTCCCAAGTGCTGAGATTAAAGGCGAGCGCCACCATCGCCCAGCTTGAGTTTCCCTTCTAAAACACACCAGTCATTAGCCTTCTTTGGCAACAGTGTGGGTATATTTATCATCTGGATCATCTATGTGTTGTCGATGTTTCTCTGCCTCTTTTCCTCTGGACTCTGACTGCAGAAACTACATCCTGCTGGATTATATTTTAGATTCAGACCTGTTGACTGTGTGATGAAGAAGCCACTTAGGGTCCTTTAATCCTTTCCTCTGGTCAAATAAATAACAATATCCCTCCTAGAAATGTGTTTACAGGGTGACTTAGGAGCTCAGTGTGAACTTGGTACCAATCTCTGCTGTTTTCAGAGACAAGCAACAGAGACAGGAGAGAGCCCCCAAGAGCAAGGTCATTTGGAGCCATAGTTTTAGTGAAGTTTGGGCCTGCCAAATGTCCTTCTTTGGTGAAACTAAGTTATAGTAAAAAATGTGATCAAAGAGACGGGATTTCTGAGTTTGTTTTTATTTTGAGATATGGTCTCAAACTCACTATATAACCCAGGATAACCTTGGACTTTTTAAAAAAAAATTTCTTTCCTTCCTTTCCTTTTCTTTTTAAACTTTAGGTTTATTTTTATCTTATGTGTATGAGTGTCTTGCCTGCATGTATTTCTGCATACAGTGTGTATACCTGGTACCCATACAAGACAGAAGGTGTTAGATCCCCTGTAACTATGGTTACAGATGGTTGTGAGCTGGCACTTGGAAGATGGGAATTGACCCCTCAGTGCCCTAGGAGATCTGCCAGCGCTCTTAGCCATTTGAGCCCCACCCCTTTGTTTTATTTATTTATTTTTTGTTGGTGGTGTTTGTTTGTTTGTTTTGAGACAGATTTCTCTTGTAATTCAGGCAGCCCTCAAATTGGTTATTTAGCTGAGGATAACTTTGAACTTTAGTGCCTCCTGAGTCCCAGGATTAGAGACAAATGCTACCGTACCTGGTTTACTGTGGCACTGGGGAGCGAACCCAGTGCTTTATGCATGCCAAGCAAATACTTTAGCAACTGAACTACATCCTCGGCAGTCTGAGTTTATCTTCATTGACAATTAATAGTCTCATATTATCCACCATTAGACTAATTCCTATTAGGCTAAGTAATAGTGGAAGAGGTCTTATCCAAAGGCATGCAAAATAGGCAGATGTCTAGAAATATCAGGACATTTGCAGGATTCTGATTTATTGAAGAAGTAAACAACACAGGGAAGGAAGGGTGTAAGCTTTCCTGTTGCCGTGTTCTGGCCACCCACCCCTTTCATCCATTTAGAACACAGTCAGTCAGTCATTTTGATAAGGTTGGATTACAGATGTACATTGACTTGTAGGTGCTGTACTGACACCAAGTTTTCCCCTGGGTATTTTGACTGAATTCTCTGACTCCTTATCTTTGTGTACACGTGTTAGCTTTATCTCTGATGCGTGTTTGGCAAATAATGGCCTCATTGGTGCCTGACATGTGGCGTCTCTAGACCCCGAGAAAGTGGGGAAATAGACAGCCAACTGGAGCTGTGATCACTGCCCTTTCCCCTGCAGAGGGTGGCAGACATCGAGCAGCAGGTCGTGTTTGCCGTGTTTGATGAGAACAGGAGCTGGTACATCGAGGACAACATCAACAAGTTTTGTGAGAATCCTGATGAGGTGAAGCGTGACGACCCCAAGTTTTACGAATCAAACATCATGAGCAGTAAGTTAGACTCCTGTTTCCATCCATCTTTTCCTCATTGGCGGTCACAGTGTGTCTGTATCCAAAGGCAACAATGTGACGCTGGGTATAGTCCTCTCTAATGCGCCTTCTCCTCTCCTCACTCACAGCTCAAGGACTTGTTGGCAGGGCAAGACTGCAGCCAAAGCCTGTAATCTGATAGGAAAAGGTCCAAAGCCTGGGGATCCTTTAAGTCAGGATGGCGCCCTGCTTCCAAAGTGTATAGAGGGGGGTGGTATGTGATATGTGTGTGTGGGGGGGATGTATGGTTATGTGTGTGTTCTTGTGGTATGTGATTGTATGTGTGTTTGTATGTGGTGTGTGATGTGTGCATGTTGTGTGATTATGGTATGTGTGTGATTGTGTGTGTGTTGTGTGGGGTTACTGTGTGTGTAGTGTATGTGTGTGTGTGTGTGGTTGTTTGTGGTGTCTGTGTGTGTTTGGTGCTGTTCATGTGAGATATATATATGTGTGTGTGTGTGTGTGTGTGTGTGATTGTGTGGTGTGTGTATGTGTGTTTAACTGTACACGCTATAAGCAATGAAGAAGGCTTGGGGAAAAGGCATTGAGGGCTTTGGTCAGTGGTACCTGAGGATTTTAGCAGTGTTCATAGTGAATACCCTCTAGCTGATGCCAGGACAGAAATGAGATGTTCTTAAAGAATGCTGCATTGTGAAATCAGAGTCAAGCAAAGTGACTCTGGGAGCCAAGCATCTCGGAAAGGCCGCCTGTGCAGAGGTCGAAGGGAAAGTGAGTCATGAGGAGTTGATAGTGGAGGGCACAGTTCTGACACTTGCTATGATTCCAAAGTTCATTGTCATGAGAAGTCTGAGGTGAATTTTACTGTGGTGTCTGCAAGCAAATCTCAACACTCCCCCTCAACCACTAGTGCTCCACACCACTGTTCCTCAAAGTAAAAAGCTTCCCCCATAGCATTTGCTGACAGATAATCTCCTCCACGTGGTGGCTTTCCTGCAGTCTGTGCATGGAGCTCCAGGACTGATATTCAGCTTTCTTCACATAATTTCCTGTCAACAATGGATCTGTGGTAGCTCTAGACCAGGGCTGCCCAACAAAAATCACATGTGAGCCACTTGCATAAAGTTTTCTGAGAAAATTGAAAAATAAAGAGAAATAGATAAAATGAATAAGAATAATGTTTTACTTAGCTCGGTATATTCCAGATGCTACCTTGTTGTTGTTGTTGTTTGAGACAAAGTCTCACTATGTAGAAAAATTGCAATTTTTAAATATAATAGAAAAATGAGATTTGTTTTATTGCTGTCTTTGCAATAGAATATGTATTGATTTGATCCTTAAAGCTCATGTCAGTGGAGCCCACCTATATTTTAGTAGTCACTTATAGCCAGTGTCCATCACATTCGACCATTAAGAAAAGCATCTGGAATGATGTAGAAACTAGTAACCTCCAGCTATTCTACGTAAGTTTGGTACATAGTGACTTAAAATCATTATTTTAATACCAAGCATCATACTAGGACTGTGGTCACAGTGATGACCTGTATGTACAGATGGTGCCCTCAAATAAATAATATCTTAATTGGTTCACCACATTCAGGACATATGCAAATTAAAATATTATCTAAATTGGTCTTCCTTTATAGGAAATTAAAATATATGAACGCAATACTTGAATGGAAACTGTTAGACCAACTGTAGGTTGCAGATAATAGGTCTCAACAACAAATTGCTAAGTGAGCTTCTTTCTTTTTGTGACATTCATTTTACTCATAACTCTATGTCAAGAAGACAGAATTCTAGCCAGGCAGTGGTGGCACATACCTTTAATCTCAGCACTTGGGAGGCAGAGGCAGGTGGATTTCTGAGTTCGAGGCCAGCCTGGTCTACAGAGTGAGTTCCAGGACAGCCAGAGCTACACAGAGAAACCCTGTCTCGAAAAACCACACACACAAAAAAAAGATAAGAGTTCTCATACATAGACTCATCTTCCCAGAAGATGCATCTTGGACAATTTAAATCAATTATAAGAATATATTTATGGCACAGCATAAAGTAACATTTTATATCTGCTTGATGAATGAGTGACCAAATCAACATGCATGAAAGGCTTTGTCTTCATCCTGACTTTTCTCACTCAGCTAACTCTGGAGCATCAGCCATCACTTGCGAAGTTGAATGTAGCCTATGACCTACTCACACATTATTAGAACTCATAAAGCTTATCTTTAATAATCACCATTTTGATGCAGCCAAATGAACATAGAGACCTGGGGATAATTATAATTAGATTTGGGTCCTTTCATTGTAAAGGCCTGGCATTTGACAGCTTTTCCTCTTTCAGCTATCAATGGCTACGTGCCTGAGAGCATATCCACTCTAGGATTCTGTTTTGATGACACTGTCCAGTGGCACTTCTGCAGTGTGGGAACTCATGATGATATTTTGACCATCCGCTTCACTGGGCACTCGTTCATCTATGGGAGGAGGCATGAGGACACCTTGACCCTGTTCCCCATGCATGGTGAATCTGTGACTGTTACAATGGATAACGTTGGTGAGTAAGAGTGAGACCACTTGGAGAGAAAGCTCATGGGATCTCAAGTGGAAAAGGTCTACTGAGCTCTCCAAATCACCACCATTCCTGGTGTGTCTCCAGGACCCCTGCAGGCTTGCACACTGCTTTTTGTGGTCTATAGTTGGGAAATTAATTTGCACATCCCTGGAACAACTGAGCAGTAAAGACATACCATGGCAGAATAAATGTAACCATGAAGAAGCAGCATAAAGATATTAGACATGAAAACAACCTTTTATATCATTCATCAAGTCTTGTCCACCTTTGATGAAGCACTAGCATAGAATTTGCTAAGGTATACCAAGTGTCTAGTGAGCCCAAGAATACACCTATGTACACTTCCCCGGAGCTATTTGTTTGTTTAGATTCGTTTATTTTTGTTATGTATGTGAGTATACTGTTGCTGTCTTCAGACACACCAGAAGAGGGCATCAGATCCCATTACAGATGGTTGTGAGCCACCATGTGGTTGCTGGGAATTGAATTCAAGACTTCTGTAAGAAGAGTCAGTGCTCTTAACTGCTGAGCCATCTTTCCAGTCTACCCCCTATCCTCACCAGAGCTGTTTTTACAAACATGGGCTATCATGCCTAGCTTTAAAAACAAAAAAAAACAAACAAACAAAAAAACAGAACAAACAACAACAGAAACATGAATTCTTGGCATGAAACTTAGGTCCTTGTGGCAACTGAACCATCTCCCCAGACCCACTTTTCAATTCTTAGCAGAGACCATCCCACCCTCTGGTGAAGAGTCATTAGATAAGCCTTGGAGGCTGTCTCAGAGACCTCACTAGCATGTAAGATCCCAGTTCAAACCATTCTCTGCCACTCAGTATTTTTGCAACTTTAGACAGGTTACCCTCACTAAGACTTAAGTCACTCATCTGAAAAGCAGGACAGTGCTTTACAGAGTCGCATCAGCTCCTAGCTGTAAGGCATAACAAGTGCTTAGCACTCAACACTCATTTCCCACTGGAGATGTCCTGTCAGCTACGCCAGCATAGCTGACTGAGTTCCTTGGATCGGCAGAGGGCTGAGGGCGAAAGAAAGACAAGGAGTCATCTGGTAAAGACCAAATGCTGTATTTTCAACTGCATAGCTCCCTTTTATACGCCCCACAAAACAGGAACAAACAGGAACAGGAACAAAATAGGAACAAAACAGGAACAAGGAGATACACTTGGCAGCCTATCACTTAAGTTTGGAATTCTCCTTGAGCAGTCTTCTCGGGGAAATGCATAGAGACAGGGGAGCAGGCATAACAGCACAGGTGCAGAGGATGGTGACTCACAATGTCCCAGGTCATCTTTAGTGTGTCAGTAATTCACTTTCAATATGACTCAAACTCACTCTGTCCCCATATATGTCATTTCTTAGAAATACCTAAATATCCTTCTTTTGGAAAAGACAACCTCATCATCATCTCCCAAACTCTACGTCTTAGACAAAATGTACAACTAAGAAGATATTAATGATTTTCAAGGTCCATTTTATCATCTACCCCTGCCCCCTTTTTTTGAAATATTCTAAAACAGTGACTCTTGAACAATCCAAACTGTAGGTCTACTTTTCTCCTTAATCTCTACAGATCATAAATACCCTAGTCTATATATACACTGACCTTGTGGTTAGCTGCCAAAACAAAGTCAAGTTATATTGTTTTAAAATTCCTTAATACATTATTCCTGGTTTTTTCTTTTTATGTCACCATGGCTCAGTAACTCATAGCCTGGTCCATAGCTTGCATGTGGCTACCTCTGGTCAAAATTCACTAGAAAAATTTTCCCCAAGAGATCCTCCTGTTTTTGTAACTTTTCCTGAGAATTCAGCTTTCTCTTCTCTGTCTCTTATGAAGGAACTTGGATGTTGACCACCATGAATTCCAATCCAAAACGCAAAAACCTAAGACTGAGATTCAGGGATGTTAAGTGTATCCTTAATGGTGATGATGAAGACTCATATGAGATTTATGAACCTCTTGCACCTACATCCATGACAACTCGGAAAATTCATGAATCTTCGGAAAATGAATTTGGCATAGACAATGAAGATTATGATTACCAGTCATTACTGGCGTCAACACTAGGAATTAGGTCGTACAAAAACTCATCCTTGAATCTGGGGGAAGATGAGTACAATTTCACTGCTCTTGCTCTAGAGAACAGCTCTGAGTTCATATCTCCAAGCACAGACAGAATTGTTGATTCAAAATCTTCAAGAAACCTTAGCAAGATCACAAATAATAACCTCAAAGACTCTCAAAGAGCACTTCCTGGCTCTGGGGCCACCATGGCTGGTACCCTCCTTGGAAACACCGCTGACTTAGATGAGAACTCCATCCTCAACCCTTTTACAGAACATCGTTCCAGGTCATATCATGAAAATGATAAGGAAAATCCACAGTCAAACATCACAGTGGTATACTTACTTCCTCTTGATTCAAAAGGATCAGGGAGTCGAGAACAGTCTAAACCTAAAACAATCAAGACAGGAAGACCCCACATGATGAAGCACAGGTTCTCCTGGATGAAAGCACCAGCTGGTAAAACTGGGAGGCATTCAAACCCAAAGAATACTTATTACAGAGTGAAGTCTGAGGAGGACATTCCTAACGATTTGTTACGCTTAAAACAAAAGATCGCATCCAAATTTCTGAACAGACGATGGCATGTAGCTTCTGAAAAGGGTAGTTATGAAATAATATTGACAAACAGTCCTCAAAATCAGAATATCTCAATGCCTTGGGGAGATAGCACCTCCCACACAAACACAACAGGAAAGCCAAGTGACCGCCCAACATTTTCTGGAGTTAGACGTAAATCATCACAAGTAAGACAAGAGGAAGAAAACAGTGGCTTTAAGAAAAGACAGTTGCTCATCAGGACCCGGAAGAAGAAGAAGAATAGGAAACTTGCACTACACAGTCCTCTATCTCCAAGGGGCTTTTACCCTCTGAGAGGAGATGACTATCTCCCATTTTCAGACAGGAGACTCCTTAATCACTCACTGTTACTCCACAAGTCCAATGAAACTGCTCTTCCCACAGACCTGAATCAGACCTCTCCTTCAATAAGTATTGACAGGTCACTTCAGAACTATAATCAGGACCCTTCAAATGACACTGAGCAGAAGAGCTCTTCTTTAGATCTCTATCAGCCCCCAAAGGAACAGACTCCAATATTTCCTGCCCAAGATCCTGATCAAACACACACTACAACAGATCCTACCTACAGATCCTCTCCCCCAGAGCGCAGCCAGGGGCTTGATTATGACCTAAGCCATGAATTTTACCCTGATGACATTGATCAAACATCTTTGTTTCCAAACCAAAGTCAAAAGTCACCTCTCTCTTCAGGTGATGGCCAAGCAATCCCTTCCTCAGACTTAAGCCTCTTTACCACCTCTCCAGAGTTGGATGAGACAATTATTTACCCAGACCTGGGTCATTTGTTCCTTTCTCCAGATAACAACCAGAAGACCTCCTCCCCAGACCTGGGTCAGGTGTCTCTTTTTCCTGATGACATCCAGAAGACCTCCTCCCCAGACCTGGATCAGGTGCCTCTTCTTTCTCCAGATGACAGCCAGGAGACCTCCTCCCCAGACCTTGGTCAGGTGCCCCTTTCTCCAGATGACAACCAGAAAACCTCCTCACCAAACCTGGGTCAGGTGTCTCTTTCTCCAGATGACATCCAGAAGACCTCTTCCCCAGACCTTGGTCAGGTGCCCCTTTCTCCAGATGACAACCAGAAAACCTCCTCCCCAGACCTTGGTCAGGTGCCCCTTTCTCCAGATGACAACCAGAAAACCTCCTCCCCAAACCTGGGTCAGGTGTCTCTTTCTCCAGATGACATCCAGAAGACCTCCTCCCCAGACCTTGGTCAGGTGTCTCTTTCTCCAGATGACAACCAAAAGACTTCCCCAGACCTAGGTCAGGTACCCCTTTCTCTAGATGACAACCAGGAGGCCTCTTCTCCAGATCTGGGTCAGGTGCCACTTTTTCCTGATGACAACCAGAAGACTTACTTCCTAGATCTGGGTCAGGCACCTCTCTCTTCAGACCAAAACCAGGAGACTTCCTCCACAAACCTTAGCCTACTGACTCTCTCTCCAGAATTTGGTCAGACAGTCCTTTCCCCAGACTTGGATCAGATGCCCCTCTCTTCAGACAACAGTCAGTTGACCCTTTCCCCAGACCTCAGCCTCTTGACCCTCTCACCAGATTTTAATGAGATAATCCTATCCCCAGACCTTGGTGAGGTGACCCTCTCTCCAGACCTCATCCAGACAAACCCTGCTCTTAATCACAGATACAATACATCCTCTGCAGACTCTGGTCAAGCATCCAACCCTCCAGATTCTGGTCAGTCTTCACCTCTTCCAGAACTGAATCAGACTCTTCCGCATCCAGATCTCATTCACATACCACCTCCTTTACCATCTTCCACACTGGATAACACTTCTTTGTCAAAGAATGTTAACCCTCTCGTTGTAGTAGGTCTCAGTAGAGTTGATGGAGACGACGTTGAAATTTTTCCAAGTGAGGAGCTAGAGATCGTAGATGACGATTATGCTGAGGATGACTATGTAGCCTATAATGACCCCTATAAAACAGACACCAGGACAGATGTCACCTCCTCCAGAGACCCCGACACTATTGCAGCATGCTACCTCCGCGGCCATGGTGGAAACAAAAAATTCTACTATATTGCTGCTGAAGAAATATCCTGGGATTATTCAAAATTTTCACAAAGGTTTGGCTAGTTTTCTCTTATTCTTTGTCACCACTGCTTTGAAAATCACCTACAGCATTTCTTCAGGGATGATTTTGAACAAATTATGCTTTATATAGTTTGAGTCTCCAGTGATATTTCCTTTGCCATTTCCAGTATTAGCTTCTATGCTTTAGATGACACTCAGGCAAAACAAGAACCATTACTGTGGAAATCTGTAGTATGCCATCTGTCCATTTATATTTTGTACCTGTATCTCGAGAGTCCTATCATGAAAATCCTTGCTTAGACCAGTGTCTAAAAACTTGGGTATTATTCTTCTTTAGCAAAATCAAAACTCAGAATGGCCACTCTTAAAGTAAAAGACACTTATCCATCTAATTGTTACACATAGTGTAGAAATGCTATAGGACTATTATAGGAATTTGCTGTATAGACTATAGTAATACTATGTATGTTTAATAAATGAGACTTGGCATAGCCCAAAGATCCTAGGAAGTCTTACCTAAGAAAATATACATTTGAGCAGGGAATTAAAACATATGTAGTCAACTGTGTTTCCATTTACATATATTTACTAGCTTATTGATAAAATGGTTATTAAATATTCTATGCTATTAAGCAGATTATTTCTTAAGTTCTTTTCATTTTTTATTTTTATTTTATATGAATGTATGAGTACCTGCATGTATGTATATAAGCTATGCGTGTGCCTGGCACCCTTAAATGCCAGAATATCCCTTATCTTATCTTATCTTATCTTATCTTATCTTATCTTATCTTATCTTATCTTATCTTAT